TCTTCATCTGATGAAGCACATAACGAGAACTGGTAAATACATCTCTTGTATTGTGAAGATATCCAGTCTCATTCATACCTTTTCTACATTTGTCAACATGGATACGTTTCAAGTTTAAGTATAAAAAGCAAAAGAAGAAATAAATCATTGATTATAAAATAAATGGATTTGAGTGAAAAAATATACAATTTAAGTTAGATGACTTAAAAGTGCATTACAATTAATTTAATGTTTTCAAGTTCGTTTCTACAAATCTAAAGAAGCGGACTTGGCGAGCGGGCATGTTTGTGAAGTGAAGTTAAAGTGAGTCAAACAACTGGAAAAAGACTTTAAATTGCACATTGTTGGTTAGTTAGTCCTTTGCCTGCTTTTGATAGGACTTTAAAGGTATGCCAACTGATGTGGACAAGCCTCTGAGTGGGGTGAGTTGGGCATGTTTTTTTCACACAGCGTATAGTGGGGGTCATTTTCATTAAGGGGGTAATTAGACACTGAAGTGGCTGAGGTCTAATGGGAAAATCAAATCGGCTCCAATGTAAATATATTCAAGGAGCAGTGTATGCTAAATGCCTGTCTTAACTGGTTAATAGACAGAATAATAATAATTTTTTTTTACTTCTTGGGCGAGAAAATATGGCATAAATAATCAGGTGTGAAATTAATTTTACAAGATCGCCATTTAAAGGGTACACAGTATGGGTATGGTTAAAATAAAATAATGATTCTTTTAACATGTCTATCCTACTGATTTGCTTTTGTAGTTTTATATTTGTTACTAGGATAACCTTTCATTAATGTTTGTGCTTCTATAATTTAAAGCAATCATACACAAATACATTATAACCGAATAGAGAAAAAAAATCAAGTTTTGTTGTTTGTTTTATTATTTCCTTTTACAATTTTTGTGTTATTTTTATTAATTCCTTTTAAAATATCTCAAAAGTCCTTTTCCTGCTGTATATTCATATACCTCATTACAGCCATATAATCAAACAAAAATAGATTTTCTAAACATTTGTGAATACAAAAGGCTACTCTTGAGATACTTCCATTGGCTCTGCTGTTGAAGTTGAAGCTTCATTATTGGTTGCCTTGGCTTTGGCACTACTCTTCTTCAGTGCTTTCATCTTGCGCGTCTGCAGCTGGCCCAAGTCTTGCTTCGTCATGTGAATGCGGCCAAGTTTTGTACCAAACACATCCCTGCTCTGGTTCTTCTTCTTGCCAATCTGGAAAGGAAACAAAAATGCTCTCTAAAAAGAATTCACAGGTAGGTGGGAGGAACAGGGCCACTTGTAGAAATACAATATTCTCAAGTTTGAAATAGTAAAAGTTCTATACCTTCAGATGTTTAGGTTGCCTGCAAGCCTTCTTCTTCAAGTCATCTGAGGCAAACTTAGTCCTCCTAATTTTCAAATCCATACAAGGTCCAATTTCTTCTAACTCAACACGGGGGATTCTTGTGCCAGATTTTTTCAATAGGATCCTGTGAAAAATAAATAACTGAATAAAATAATGCTAATAATATGAAGTCAGATCAACTTCTTCCCTCATTAGCCCCAGTAAATTGATATAATTTTATAGTCTAGGTTTTACAGTTATGATAATTTTACGTCTTTTAATTTGTTCAACGATTTACACCTATTATATTTTCTGATCTCTTATTGTTTTTTTTTGTTTTTTTTTTAACAAATACCTATATCATTTACATTTTTTCATTATCATGATGAGTGATGATGAACATGATAGTGATAGTTATAAGGATTTTATTTTCAAAAACTTTGAAATTCTAGAATATGTTATAAAATATACTGCAATCTAATCAAGCAAATAAAACCATGATTTATAAACTATACAAAAAGATGTGAAGAAGGGAGTGAAAACACATGTTCTTACCAATCTAAATAGTTTCCACACACCTGTTCAGTAAGGAGTGATTAGAACATCGTCATAACTTAGAAGAAAGGATATTGATATGCTGCATTTCACAAGGTAAAATGCAAGCCAGTGAAAGAGAGAGAGAGAGAGAGAGAGAACAAAAGAGAGAGCAGTCATATCGTAAACAATTACCTAGAAATTAATCCTTTTCTCCTGTAACAAGTAAATACAACATGCAAATAATAATAATAATCAACTCACTTGTAACTCCTCATATAAATTGTATCGTCTGTTGCCGTAAAGAGAAGTGCATGTTCAAAGCCCTGCAACCTTACATCCGTTGCTTCTACACCCCTGAAGAAGTCAATCAGTATATTTTTAAGGTTCTTGTAGTCCACCAAGTCTTCAAACTGGGTGCCGCAGAAGACCATGCAAGGTTTATTGCCCACAGTAATTTTCTTATTCTTGAAGTCTTCTAAACCTAAGTAGTTGTCTACCCCTAACTCAATCAAGTCAAGAATGTGGTGGTTAAACATTCGTCCTGTAAAAGAAGAAAAAATATTTGATAATTATTTCATTGTACATTTTCCTTTTACTGTTAATACAAAAAGGAACCATATGCTATTGCGGGGTTTGGATTATAATTTAACTGATCTTTTGAAAGCTGCCAAGACATTGCCTTGTTTTTTTTAACTTTTTTTTTTTTTTTTAGGGGGAGGGGGGAGGTGTGCAAGTGCCAATTCATATAAAAAAGAATAAAATTCTTTAGCTGATTCATTATTGAGACTAAGAAAAATCAAAAACATACCCAGAATAAGGTTATTAGGTCTTTTCTTGGAATGTGTGGCATAAGCAAAGAGAGATGCATCATGCTCGTGTGCTAATCTTTCCACGGGGAGAATGTCTTCAAAGGGTAAAAGCTGGTCCTGACTTTGCAGAAGCTTTGAGTCTTGTCTTTTCAGGGCATACTGAAAGTCAGAATAAAACATTAGAAAGCATTGGAACTGGAGAGAGAAAAAATTGTCAAAGAAAGAGACATACATGTACAGACCGACACAGACACAGAAAACACAGATAAATATATCAATATAAACATTTTTCTAGCTATATAATGAATCATTTCATGAATAAATGTAAAAGACTTCAAATCAGTTCCTGTAGCTATAGTCTGAAAAAGGTTTTCTTATTTTGTACATTTGTACATATAGAAGGGGGAAAAAATCAAAATCATAAATAATTATCAATCAGGAAAAAAAAAAAATAAGTGTAACCAATATTACTTACTATATCCTTTATACATTTGCGCATAAACTCTCCGGTCTTTTTCCCATGCAGAAACAAACACTGTTTTGTATTTTCAATAATCTTTGGCTCTCTCTTGACCAGGGCACGCTTTGCACGTGGATTTTTGGGTTTTCTGAAAAAAAGTGGTAAAAATCAATCAATCAACTTTCATAAACTTCTATCCTGCCATCAAACCTTTACGTCAGGTGTCACAAAAATAAATGGACCATCGTTAATGGGTTAAGAGCCTAGGGTGGGGGTTTTAGGGGGGTGGAGTCCAATTTAAATCTTCCAGGAGTCTTAAATTGCATATTCCCGATCTTCAATCTTGCTTATGTTTTTCTCTGGTGTTCGCAAGGGCTCAAGATACGTAAAAGGCAATTTACAAACACCAATATTGCAAGAATTTCAAGGCGAGGGAAATCTTTCAGAATAACTAGTACTATTTCATTTACAGAAATAACTATTAATCAAGTCGACACTTGTACTGTGGGCTCCTTCCTGCAATTTAAATCCACATAGTCTTAATTCAATTAGAAATAAGATTTCCTTCTGTTCCTGAGAAAATGTATCTTCATAAACCCCAAGAAATACTTACACCACTCTTTGCATTACAGTCATCTTGTTACAGTTTCTCTGCTGTCGTCTTGTAGAAGAAAATGATCACTAGTTATAGCATTTAGAGTTGAGTTCAAAGTTCCTGTCTCCGTCAATTATTTACTTGGTTTTATTATGACTGCTCGCGCCGCACACGTGTTTCTCGCCCTCCCGTGTTTACAGTCTCGAGGGATCCTAAGGGTAAGCCCTGTGAATATTTCTTTTTTGTATTTACGCAGCGCTTTTTCTAGAAATTATATTACGATGATATTTATGATATATTTTTTGCCTATTTCGTCGAAATTTGAATAAATATATTTTACATACCGTGAATAAATCTACTCTTTATTCCCCAAGCAACCAAAAAAAGGGGTATCAATTTAAAAAATAGATAATCAGTGACAAAACACCTGGACAATATTTGATTATATCAAATCATATTTAAGCAAATCCACGTCGAAAAGAACCGACGCTCAAGTCCACATTCCACAAGTAAATAAACAGACGACGAAGTATGAACTTGACACTCGGCGGCAGGAAAGTCAAATCTTCGTATTAAATCGCCTTTTGAGTGTCTTTTAGGGGGGTAAATAGAAATTTATGTGTGGTATACTTCTATGAGATCCTGTTCACTTGAGTAAACAAGATGAGTGAAGCTGACGCTGTATTTAAGGTAAGAAATAGACGGTGGCAACTGAAGCTAAGGCAGTTGGAGTTCTTATTTATATGTATTAATTCTTTTCTTTGGCCTTTTGTATTTCCATAATGGCTGTCTATATTTGTTCATCAATCCTTTGGGACACCGTATGCTTGAGGATGATATAAGAGAATTTGCATAATTAAATGGATATTTAATGAAATTATTAGTTGTATATAGTTTCAGTATTCATACTTTCAACTTTCATTTTTTTTTTTATAGAATGGCTATTAGTTGTTAAAAGTTCCAATAATTTGCTAGTGAAATGAGTTATGATAGATGTTAGGACACTATGATATTACATAGAAAGTATCCTCATAGCTAACATATAACATGACATTCCAGGGCAAGATCCACTACTATGGAAGAGAGCAGTATTATCAAGCAATGCAAAATGAATCTGTGGCGGCAACAAAAAAGTTTGGCAACGATCCTGTGTATCGCTTCTACTCAGCAGTGTCGCATCTTTTGCAAGGCCAGACACAGGAAGCGATTAGACAGTTGCAACCATTGCAGGTGGGTTGGTTTTGAGAAATTAGATTAGATTAAAGGACCCTAGTGTGTCTTAATCTAGTCTAATTAAAATAAAATGTTTTTAGAATTTAATTAGAACCATAATCATATAGAGCATAAACTAAATGTAAGCCAATATCTAATACAAATTCTAAAGCTAATGCCATCAAACAAAAATATAAGACTGAAGCAATACTTAATCAAATTTTGAAATAAATCTAAATTTAGTTATTATTGAAATGAGGAATACATTCATGTGAAAAAGAATTTACGTAATTCCATTAATGTTGGGAGTTTGAATTATATTTCTCATGATTTATCTGAGTCGCAATAATTTATTAGAATGTAATTTATTTTTTATTTGTTTATGTTCTTCTTTTAGAATGGCAGGTTGATCTTTACAGTACTGACACACTAAGCTAGGGCCAATTAAAAATATTCTTATAGAAGACAAAAGTTGCAATTTTCAATACAAGAAATAGTCAGGAGACATGAAGGATAACACCACAAATAAAGGAAAAAGGTTGTGGAAAGTGCTGCTCATAGCGTAAGTCCACTTAGTGCTCCTGAGTTTCAGCTCTATCTTGCCATGCCTACTGAGGTGAAGACAATGTTTCCTGGGGGATGTTAGGAGGCAGAGTCCCCCATCAACACTCCTCTCAGATAGTCCCTGAAGCATATGCCCAGTCATGGTAGTTAAATTTTGTTGAAAATAGTTTGTGATGTGGAGTTCGGGATTTGTGAATGTGTTTGTAATGTAAAGATTTACTGAATGGCATAAGTGTGAGACACAGATATTGATATTTCTTTCTGTACCTCTTCACAGAATGACCAAGATGTCATGCTGGGAACACTTCTTGCATTGATCTATGCTCATCGACACTGCCAAGTAGTTGACAAAGAAGCTGTTACTATGTTGGATGCTAAGCTCAAAGAAGAAAGAAAAAGGGCTCCAGAATCTGTAAATATGAACTTATAAGACTTGTATAATTTTACTTTGCTTGGAAGTTATCATCAAATGAGGATGCCTCAGAGTAATTACTGAATTTGGAGCTGCCTTATGTAATTTACCCTTAGTTGACATATTTTCATCTTTCAGTGTTTGTATTATGCTGCCATGTTCCTCCTTCTCTCTGGAAAAGTGGACAAAGCACGAGAATATATTGATCGCATGTTGAAACTAAACCCTGAAGATCTTGCTGGGCTCACATTAAAAGGCTGGGTGGAGCTGTTTGCTGGTAGAGAGAGTAAAATCAAAAACACACTCCAGTTGTTTGAGGCTGTACTTCAAAGGTAGGTGGCATAGATTATATGTAAGCTACTAGCATTGTGACTACAGAAACTGTTTTGTCTTTAAAAAACAAATATTTAGGCTGAACAGGTAAACTTTTGCAATTTGAATATAATCTTGTGTGAAATAACAGATATTATTGTTTAATGATATGAACAATGTTTATGTATCTTGTGTTTGTAATAAGATTTTGAAGTAGCTTCTTTATCTATTGTAACTCATTTTTCAGGTCCCCAAAGAATATTGATGCTCTCTTCGGAAAAGCAAAGTACTATGAAAATCGCAGTTCTTACAAAGAATCCATGGAAACTCTGAATGTCCTTGTTGTTGCATACCCTGATTTCACCGGACCACTTGTAGAGAAGATGAAGGTGTATCTCTCAGAACAAGAATGGGACCAGTCTATGGATGCAGCTACAAGGTACGTTTATTCAAAATGATATTTGACTTGATGAGCTATTTTATTCTTACACTGGACTTTATCAGTGACATATCCATGAAGTTATCATTAAAATATGAAATATACTTTTATCTTTTGACAGAGTTCTTAGTGTAGACTCTCACAATATTGAAGCCTTGAAGCATAAAACCTTGTATGCACTGTGCCGCCAAGGTAACTATGACGAAGCAGCTCAGGCACTTCGAGATTTATACAGTGAAATGGATAGGAGTGAGCCAAACAACGCATCTCTTTTTGTTCATATGGCTCAGTTGTTTTCAAGAATTGTAAGTATGATAAAGAATACCTGTGAAAGAAGTACATGAGTTGTTCCAAAAGAAAGGACAGAATGAATATATTCATAGTACTTTTTCACTCCTTAATTATTGATAGATTAAATCATGTTATCAATGTATATTTATGCCTGACAAATTTCTTGTGTGAAAGAAACTGATTTGTATTAGAAGAGACTTGTACACTGCTTGAATATTAATAGGTTAACTTTTTTTATTAATATATATTTATGGCAAACAAATTTCTAGTGTGGAAGAAATCGTCTTGTGTTAGAAGAGACTTTCATGATGGCAAGCAAAGCTGCAAAAATTGATACAGGGAATGCAGAATACCTCACAGAAGTGGGTTATCAGTGTCTATTACAAGGTCGCAACAAGGAAGCCACTAAGTATTACAAGAATGCTACGAAATTGGATGAGTCATCTGTGGCAGCTCTCACAGGTTAGATACCCTGATAGATGGTCATAGATACTTTGTAAAAAAAAAGAAGAAAAAAGAAAAAATGCACTATCAACTCATATATTTCTCCAAAAGACATGACTTTATCTATATCAGTGTCAACTTGTGCTTTTATTGAATGCATTCACCTTGTTTATATATCACCATACCATTTTAAAGGCCATAATTTTTATCTTCAGGGATAATCTCATGTCAGCTGTTAGAGGGGCAGGTGGATGTTGCAGAACAGCAGTTGGAATTTTTGAAAGAGGTATTAACAATTTATATCCTGTCATCATATGCCTGTGATTGTTCTTGCCAAGTTAGACATGTATTCATGAGTTGATATAATTGTTATTACTTTGGATCTCAACTAGAAACCTTCCTGCTTCCATGCTCCCTAAGGCCCTTCTTCAATTTTCCAGGTACAGCGGAGCCTCGGGGCATCACCGGATATCCTTTACCTGTCTGCTGTTTTAGGGCGGATGAAAAATCAGAATCCCGACACAATATTAGGTATTTTTGTGTGATAAGCTTTATGTAATGTTATTACTATTACTATTGTTAATAGAATTAATAACATTTGATTATGAAAGTTTAATCTTCATTTATATACTTTTATTTTGTTTATTTTTAAGTTTAGGTAGTAGAATAGTAAATGTAGACTTTGAATGACAAATTATTCAATTTCTTAGTTTCAACTTCTGTTGAGATTAATTATATATTTATTCTAATGTTTATGTAATTTTGTGCTCTTTTAAATTATCATGCAGTATATGTATTGTCATTGATATTTTTTCTGATTTGCTTCTGTATGTTGGACTCACATAGAGGGAGTAATATCAACTATTATCCACAGCTTTACTGACGGAAGCAATTGACAACCACTTCAAGAACCATCGAGGAATGGCCTTTGGTTCCACATACCTGGCGGCTCTGAATCCTGACTTCTTGCTTCTCATTGTCCATGAATGTCTCCTCTATGCTCCAAATCAGGTATGGAAGAATGAGTTAGGTATTTTAGCATTAAACTAGGATAATATTCTTCAGCAGCACATGCCATATATACATTTTTTTAATGGTTCCAATAATTAAGATAATATATGTTCATGAAAAAGAGTCTGAAACTGATAACCTTTTTTCACTGTTCATATAATTTTAGAAAGTTGAATGAATTTATTTACTTGATGTTCATTTCACTAGCCAAGTGATACCGCAACGACAACTGAGGTGCCTCCTGTTGTGAAACGAGCATTACTTGTACTGGATGCCATTACCCGTGCATGTCCTGCCCTCCTTACTGCTCTTGTGCTCTCTGCTCGTACAAAGTTTGTTACTGGTGACGTGAAAGGAGCATCAACAATACTCCAGCATGTGTTAGATGAAATTGGTAAGGAAAATTAAGATTCATATCATGTTGAGATCAGAGGAGTTTTAGTGTTGAAAAGCAAATTCAGATTTATTGCAATATGCCTGAATGTCACTTATACTGACAGATTCAACAAGTTCTGATGCACACTTGCTGATGGCCCAGATTCAGCTCCACCAAGGAAACTTCAAGCAAGCTCAGCAGAGCCTGGAAGTGGGACTCTCATATAACTTTGAGGTATTTTTTTTCTCGTCTCTAATGAGATCATAAACAGAAAGCCTGGATTTTTTAACAGCTAGTACCATATTAGACCAGAAACTTTAAACCACAGTAGTTTACTGTATTGTTGGGTTTTATATAAAGACAGCTGCTGATTTTGAGTTTGATAAAACTAAGGCTTATGATAGTTTATTATTTTAGATTACACTCTCCTTACTTTAACAGGTAAGAGAGCAACCAACATACCACCTAGTTCGAGCAAGGGTTATGAAAAAGCAGGGACAGTATCAAGAAGCTATCAATACACTGAAATCCTGTTTGAACCTTGCAAATACCAGACCCACAAGTAAGTTCATTCATCCCATTGACAGATGAGGTGTATAGTACATTATATTCATAATTTTTAGTTCCATTAAGTAGTGTGTAAAACTGGGATTTACTTACAACTAAGTATTAGTGAGATCTTCAACACCAATTAGAGGTCCAATGCATTTACTCACAGTAAATTCCATTGTAATTCCTGATTTTAGTGCAGCTTCATAGATGTATTTCATCCTTCAAAATCTTCTGTTGTAATTAGTTCAGAAAGTTCCCTTAGTCATAGAAGTATCATAGACATTCCTTTTTATGTGAACATGCACATGATTTATTAAAAATGCGATTTCATGTCTCTTCCAGCAACTAAAGGAAGCCGCAATAAAGCTGAGCTGACTTTGCCTGACAGAGCATCAGTATTTTTAGAATTATGTGATGCTTACCGGCTCAATGACCAACCTAATGAGGCAGCTAGTATCATGACACAGGCAATGACGGAGTTTCAGGTTAGTTTGTAGAAACTGAAATTCTTTCTACATTTTATCAAAATTAAGATAAGAAGGTTTAATGTTTCTTTATGTATGTTATATTTTTTGCTACTATATTACATTTCTAGGTGATAAATAAAACTATTATCATTATAATGGCTGGAATATATAATTGATGTAATTAGCTAGATGATGTAGGAATTTCAGATGCACCCCTCTAAATGATTTTTTAAAAGTTAAAAATTAAACTAGATAATTTCAAAAGGTAAACTAACAGGTATTTTTCTTTGAAGGGAACTGGTGAAGAAATCAGGCTAAATATTGCCAGTGCAGACTTGGCCTTAATGCGTGGAGATGTTGAACATGCTCTTGCCATGCTGCGATCTATTGGACCTGATCAGCCGTACTACCTCGAAGCTAGAGACAAGATGGCTAATATTTATCTTAATAATCTCAAAGACAAGCGAATGTTTGCTACTTGTTATAGGTGTGGTAAAATGAAATTCATTCAGTATTTTTGATATAAGGAATTTCAATAAAACAGAATTGTATTCTGCATCTTCACAAAAAAATACAGTGCATCATAAAATATAGTTACTTCATATATGAAATTATTTCATGTATAAACATAAATTGATATTTCAAAGAGGTAAATAGATAGGTGAGCTTGTATGACTATGTAGATATTATGTATATTTTCATACAATTTGACTGCATTTTTCTTCATTAACAGAGAAGTAGTTGAAAAGAATCCAACGCCCCAGAGCTACTTAATGTTGGGGGATGCCTACATGTCCATTCAAGAACCTGATCGTGCCATTGAGGTAACAGTATGATCGCAGTTTTGTTATTGATACTCTGTTATTACCTTGAAGTTTCAAAACTGTATGACTTTCATTTGATGATTCTTTTATGCTAGACTTTAGCTCATTATGTCTTATATTCTGCTATTTCTTTTTGGTTAGGTTTATGAACAGGCTCAGAAACGTAACCCAAGAGATTCGGTGTTAGCATGTCGCATGGGCATGGCACTCGTGAAGACGCATCAGTATGGAAAAGCTATCAATTATTACAAGGAAGCAATAAAGAGTGGAAGCAGTAACCAGTTACGGTAAGATTTCGTGCCATGAATTGGTCAAATTAGGGTACACAAGATTTAAGTACATATTTTTCTAAACCCTTGTTTTTATTCATATCCCATTAGATTGTGTTGAATATGATGTGTCTCTTTAGATTATTAGAATGAGATTTGTTAACAATATCACTTATTTTTTTAAAAGCTCACTAAGACATGACATCATGACTTTTGACTAGATAGCCCAAAAAGACAATGGCTTATAAATGATGTCACAAAAGCAGTATGAAAGAAATCACTCAAATATAAAGACTACAAGTTCCATGTTACATCTTTCAAACAGATATGATATGGCTGAGCTGCAAATGAGGCTGAAGCAGTATGATAAATCAGAGAAGACCATTAACCAGGCACTGGAAGTGGAAGCCATCAATCATTCCAACCTTACTTCTATGCTTACTCAAGCAAAGCTCCTCAACCTTCTTGCAAAGGTAAACCTCCGAAGATTTGTTTGGACCAGTCTATAAGTAGTCTATAAATATGGGAATGATAAGCTTCCAGAAGAGCAATCAGTATTCATTTAATATCTGAATACTGAAAGAATGATTATACAAATGTTTGAACTCAAAGTATTTTGCAAATTGTTAGCACATCAGATCCCCAGAAAATCTTGTGTATATGATGAGCATCAGATATTTAGAAATTTGGAGTTCTTCTTTTTCATTTCTGGAACATATTGCATGCTAGTGTGTTCTTGTATTTTTTCATTCTTCTGCCTTGGGATAATTTGGATGATCTTACATTAATGTTTTGAATTTCAGGTTCATGAAAGGGCAGGTCATTTTGATCAAGCTCTTTCAACTCTTAGTAAGGCCAAGGATGTGCAAGTAAAAGTCCTCAAGAGAGCACAGGTTGAGCTGCCAGACTCCGTAGCTGAGCAGAAGCAGTTAGCTGGCAGGTATGTTTGATAACTAGCTGTTGCTCGAGTTTGTAATGTTTTTGGGGTACATTGTGAGAGTATATAGACTAATCTCTACTTTTATGATAACTGTGATTAATTTCTTTGTATCATATGCAAAGCTTTTCAGTTCTTCATTTGGAGTTTTATGCTATTTACAAAATGATTTTGTGAACATAAGAAATTGCCTTGATTTTTCAGCATGTGCAGCAAGATGGCTGAACATGCTGCAAACCAGCGTGAGTTTGATCAAGCTATTAGGTTGTACAAGGAAGCTCTTCAGTATGATCCAGAACATGCTCCTACACTTCTGGCCTTAGCAAAGCTTTATATGCAGTAATTAATTTTTTACTAAACAAGAATGAAAAGGTTTATGTATTACTGTAGTGAAGGTGGATATCCTTATCAACTTTGTTGCTTTTAGCTTGCTGTGTGGACTAACTAGCACATGGTTCAAAATGTTGGTTAACAGCGGTAGATGTCAGAGGCTATCAGTATAGATTTGCATCTATGTCTTCAGTGATGTGTGTATCACAATATTTTACAAATATAACAAAAAAGTGTATGATATGCAGGTAGTAAGAAATGCATTTGAAAAAGGCTAAAAAAATTACATATCAGTATATGCCATCAAGTTTCAAGTATTCATGAGTCTTATATTTATATCAAGTAGAGCTGTTCACCTGTTATATTTTAAGTGTTGGAAATATGTAAAGGGTAGAATGAAAAAAACATGAACAAAATATGTTTTGCTTCCCAGATTAATGACTTGGATCAGTGTCAGTACACTTGCATGACACTGCTGAGAAGTGACAAAGAAAATGACAGTGCCACAGTCATGATGGCTGACTTGTCATACCGACGAAATGAGTATGATACAGCTATGTTTCACTTCCAGCAGTTACTTGGTATGTAGTTCATGTTCACTCAATATGTCACTGGAAATAAACTGTTCTTCGGCTTACTTTAGTTTGCATAAAAAGTTTTTATCCGTCATTGCAGTAACAAATGGCAAATGATCGTAACTGTATTTGATTCAATTTGATTCTCATTTCATTAATAAAAATGTAAAGTTCTTAAGATTGTATGCTGTTGTAAATTTCATTGATTGATATGTAGAAACCTTCATTTAATGTTGGTTTTATATAGCACTCTAACTATTGTATGCAAACTCTCATAATTTATATTGTTCTAATCAAAACAGACAGGCGTCCAGCATATTTCCCAGCATTAGCTCGTCTTGTAGAGGTTATGCGACGAACTGGAACCTTAGATGAGACAAATCCATATCTTGATCGGGCTGAGCAAGCTACCCTTAAGCCATACATGGACTCTGGTTTCAACTTCTGTAAAGGCTTATATGAATGGTATTATTCTGAATTTGCTGAAAATTTATCCATTTCTATATTTCAAACTTTTTGTCAAAACTGATGCTTAGATATGAGACCAATATATAATTTTGTAATACCATAAAAATTGGAGATATTGGGAATACATCCATTTCAGAACTTTACTGACAGCTTTTTCACATTATACTCTTTTATAAACAAGTAAGCTTTTTCACAGGTATGTAGGAAATCCCAATGCCGCATTGAAGTACTTCAATAAAGCACGGAAGGATCAAGAATGGGGTCAAAGAGCAATTTATAACATGATTGAAATTTGCCTGAATCCAGATAATGACACCATTGGAGGCGAGACTTTTGAAAGTGTGGACAGTGAAGTCAACCAGTCTGGTGCGAGAGACACTTTGGACATGGCAATTAGGACAGCAGATAAACTCCTGAAGGTAAATTGTTTTGAGGGAGATGATTACAGTTTTTTATTTGAGACATTATTTTTGAGATATTTGCTGAGGATAGCTACCTGCCTTTCACAACAGATTTTTATGTTTCAGGAACTGAGTCCCAAACCTGGTGATCAGCAAGTTTCTCATCAGATTCTAAGTAATTTCCTCTTGTTGGCAACAAAGCAGAAGGCCAATGCTGAGCGAGCACTGCAAGATTTTATGAACATTGCCAGCCAAGAAAGTTACAAGAATCATGTTGGGGCCATTCTTGGTATGGCTACAGCATACATGATATTAAAGCAGGTTAGATAAAAAACGACAGTGATTTTTGCCAACTATTATACTAGAAATATAGATACCTTTGCAATATTAAGAATTGATTTTCCTTCAAACGGTTCAGGTGGTTGTGCTAAATCTATTCAAGTGAGGTATTTTCATTTTAAAATTGGTCGAGAAAAAATTCATATAACCTCATTGATAGCTTTCATCCAAAATTTTAAATTTGTTTTCAGACTCCACGTGCTCGAAATCAGCTAAAGCGAGTAGCTAAATCAATTTGGAATTTTGAGGATGCAGAATACCTGGAGAGATGTTGGTTACTGTTGGCAGACATATATGTGCAGACTGGAAAATATGACATGGCTACAGACCTTCTCAAGGTTTGATATGAATACTGATTTTTTGCAAAACAGAAATTGTTTTCACATGTTATTTCTTGTTTATATATTTCTCATGCTTGTCTACTTAGAAGTAAGTACAAAATACATGATTCCATAAATTCAAATATCAATAGTAAGGGTCTTGTATGTATACAACAATACTGACTAACTCTCAGGAAAGTATATTTTCAACCTCAAATTTCCTCTTCTAGCGTGTCTTACAGCACAACCGATCTTGTATGAAAGCTTATGAATATATGGGTTTCATCATGGAGAAGGAACAAAGTTATCGGGATGCTGCATACAACTATGAACAAGCTTGGAAGTTCAGTGGAAATACAAATCCAATGATAGGTAAGAAATTTCACTAGAACTTTATGATAGTTTGTAACTTCAGCCTTTGATATACATACACAAATATATAAAATGTACTTATCTCTGTATCTCTATTTTTAGTATTTTAAGACCCAATATTTTCCCTTTTTCAGGATACAAGCTGGCATTCAATTACATGAAAGCCAAAAGATATGTAGACGCAATAGATGTGTGTCATACTGTTTTAAATAAGCACCCTGAGTACCCAAGGATACGCAAAGATATTCTGGATAAATCACGTGCAAGCATTCGAGTTTAAAGGGAGATATTTGGAAACTCAAAAGAAGAAAAAAATCCAGATATACTCGTTAGGGGTTATTAGGAATACTGATGAATAAGTCACTGATAGATCTGTATATGCAGATGTATTTTTAAAAATTATTATTTATAATGATTTTTTAACCATTTGGAGTATTTGTTATATTTTTATAATTTACTAATGATTGCTCTATGTTTTCTTAGCCCTGAATTATTATTACTAATAATTTTATCAGATAACTTTATATTTTTACATTGTAGATGCTCTTATTACATTTTTTTCTTCCTTTTTTCCAGTGGGATTGTTTAATCTAGTCAGTTATTCCATTTTATGTTAGGCATCCCCAAATAGTCTAGTCATATACAGCCTGAAATTATTTAATAGAATAATGCTTGAACATATTACTCAGAGAATATTTATCACCTTACATTACAAATATCCGTCCAGTAACACTACAGTTATAAGTGTATGCACAAGAGTTGAGATCCCAAGATTAAGATTGTTGAATTTGAAGTTTATGAAACTGCTTCACCAGTCTAAAATTGTATGAAATATTTTATTGTATAACTAGATGATAAATGAGAAATACTGTTTATGGAAAAATATTGGAAAGAAATAATTTTGTACCTACAGGTTATATTGTGCACAATGCATTTATAATATTGAAACAATTAAACTGTTTGATCAAGTTTTTACAGTCTGTACAAGGAAAAAAAGACCAATTAATGCCGTAGAGGCTGAGGTACAGTCTGCACTACATATATATTCTTATTAATACTTGGTGATATTTCCTGCTTCTTGATGACCTCAACACATCACTAAATCAGGCTATTTAACTTTTTTCAGTGCACTGTTGAGTATACATGCCAGAGCCTCAGTGCCTCCAAAGATGCATTTATCAATAAACATGAACTTTTCAGTAATCCAGTCTTTGTGTTGCCTTGTAAATGAAAGAGATTTATCATGCATTTTTGCATTTTTGGGCAGCACTGTATAATATCAGATTCAGTTCCCTTTGCAAGTTATTGTATGGTACACAGGGAGGTCTTTTAGGATGGTAGGTTGGCTTTTCATAAGTGATGGCATGGTCATGCTTGATATCAGAATATCTCTTCTCAAAAGTTTGTCAGTCCAGTATTGTTTACAAAGAGGAATAGCATTACATGGAAGGTCTTTAGCTACCCCCAAGACAATATAAATGGCAGACCTGGGCATAGCTACTTCTGCAATACATTGTACTTTTATAACCTGTCTTTGACCGTTCATAAAAATACAGCCTCGGTAAACATAGCATATATATAGGTATTTCAAGTGGAGAGAGGCTGAGAATACTTCCATCTATCTCGGTCAGAAAGTAAATTAACCATGGGAAGATAATGTGCCAGTAGAGGTGCCAGATTTTAGCGCATCTCCCTTGGAATACCGGGAATGATAGTGCACAAATAAAATGAGAATACCTCACCATAGGAAATATAAAGGATTTTTTCATTTTGTGTGCATTGTATGTACGGCATAAAGGATTATTTTTTAACGCTTGTAATGTTTCAAAAAAATATACAAACCAACACCAGTGATTAATGATTTCCTTACTCCTTGGATCTTGTTTTACTTCTTAGCAACCTTGTGTGTTCTTGATTTCAGAAGTGAAAGGTTCCTGGCATCAATAGCCTTTGTATTATTATTTCATATGTTGGTTCTTGATCCATTATTGCATTTGTTATGATAACCATAGAGCAAAGTTCTTTTTAATGGAAGTATTGTCCACAAGTGATGACTATACAGGTTTGTATTAGTAAACAATAAAATTTTTTCATGTTTTTGTTTTCACCAAAATAAACTAATTGTGAACAGTATATATAAGCAACTTATTTATTTCACAACTTTGTTTTTGATTAACAGGGATAACTAGTAAAAAAGGAAGTGAAAAATATATTTAAATATTATAAATTTATTTTTGTACTACTTACATTCTTAGAATGTAACTTAGTGCTTTATATATATAAATATACTTAGTATAAAAGTACTGAAACAACTATATATTTCTTCCTGTATACATTATAAAAAAAACTCTTAATATACATTTATTAAAAAATCTCTTTTGACCAGATTAATTTGAACAAAGTGATTTTTAAAATTTGCCTTTAAGACTGAAGCAGATTATATTTGCTTTCAACTATATTGAACACAAACTCAACTGTCAAGAGATCTTTTCTTTAATGTTCCTACTAACTGTTAATTTTAAAACAAGGACTCCTTACTTAATATAATTTATTTTAAGTAAATCCTCATCAAAGTTCAAAGTTCATAGTTCAAGTAACTTTATTTCCTAATTACCAAACTGACCCTAAAAATAAAGCAAATACAGTATGTCTTGAGAACAGCAGTCAGTCACCTGATACATATTTTCGTGTTCGTTGTTTGCTGTCATGCTAATAATGCCTCAAGTTCCCTTTGAAATCATTTGATACCTGTAATGAAGTATGTGAAATGGGTACCTGAGCTTAAAAAAATATATATAAAAAATCTAGTGAATCACTGCTTCACTAATGCAAAAGAAAAAAAGAAAGAAGAAAAAAGAAAAAGAAGAAAGAAAGAAAAAAAAAAAAAATTCATGGTTGTCATAAATGATATAGAAACTATGGTTAACTATCAATACAAATGCAAGTACAGTTAAGTTCATAAAAAGTAAAAAAAACTTAAGAAATATATCAATAGCAGTTATAATTTATAAACAAGCAAGCAGAATTAAAATGAAGAAATGACTATCACAAAGATTTCTTCAGTAAAGATTTATTTAATCTTAGCTGTTACCCTGTCTTACTCACAGAAAAAGAACCTGAAATTTTAATCATTTGCACTGAAAAAACATAAAATATTCATAAGTTCTACTGTATAGCATTAGTTGTATGTAAATTATGATTTAGGTAACTATAGCTGCTGTGTAATTATGTATATATATAGATATAAAGATATATATGCATATATATAAACATTATATATATACATTTATATATATCTATATATATCCCTATCTATCTATCAAAAATTGTTATGGTTTGCTAAATAGATGCATGTGGTGAAAACAATCCATATACTGAGGTAGATATTTTATCATAAAGACGCTGAAAGGTTACCTCATTGCTTGTTTGGAGACCAATCGGAACTATTCTTACAATACAAAACTTGACTTGAATGTCATTGGAAGCTTATATATAAGGCAAACTGCCTCTTTTTAAACACGTTTAAAATCTTAAATTCTATGAACAGAACTACTTTTACTCATTATATATATAGTAAAACATACACGACTTTCACCAGCAAGATGGATGGTATGTTCAATGTAAAAAACAGACACATGAAGTTGAGATCATGATTTACAGCCTTCATTATAAAGGTTCTTCTCCCATAATAACTGCTTTCTTTTGTCTATACTCCTCCTTGACCTTCTCCAAATCCTTGTCAGCATCAATTACAAGTACTGGAGCTGGGGGTGCACGAGGTTTATGCTCTAGTAACCAATTCTCATAGTAGTTGTGAACCTTTTGAAAAAGAAAGTTAAGAAGATATTTAGATGAGGATTTAGCATATACATATATATTTAAGTATAATTTTTACAAACATGTTAGAGATGTACAAGCAGACCTTTAAACATACTTATCTGCCATATATACATCACTCTATGCATACTTAAATTTTAGCATTATAGTAAGTAGTAAGTATATTACTTACATAATGATAACTGTATAAAGCATTACATCTTTATCTTTGAGTTATCAAAATGAATAAGAGGAAGAAGAAGCAGCAACAGCAGTACTAGGAATAAATCAGTATGAACAGCTTCAGTTAAATCACTTCTAAATACCTGTTTGAGATACTCCAATGGAACACCTGCTTCTTCTGACCGACCTCGCTCAATCATCCTGTTGTGTACAGTTTCTGGTGTCGATCTTAAGTATACTGTGTAAATATAGAAATAAAACCACATTTTAGTCTTTTCATCGTTTTCACACAATTTGCTGGAAAATGAAGAAATAATACAGAACATACCATTCATTAAATAGATTCATTGCTTCAGCTTTAGACAAATATTTATGCTTTCTTACCTATTAAATCTATTCCAATATCAAGAGTTGACTCAAGCAGATCGTAGTATTCACATAGTACACTATATTCTGCACCCTGTAGTTCTCCAGAATTATGACCACTTTCCACAAAACAATATCTGGAAATAAAAGTCATCAATATTACTTCACAGCTGTTGTTACTCTTTAAACAATGGATTTACTGTTCATTTAAAATTCACCTTTTAAATAATTTGCTGAATGGTAGATCATTACCATATATACTTTTTAGAGATCATATCCCTATGTTGACTGCATACAGGACATCAATAATTTAATAATAAATATATAGATCTAATTATGTAAAATTTTAATATATAATACATGAAATGTCTCTAACAATCACTTCACATGGATTCACACGACAGAGACTAAGTCCCTAACTCCACATCAAAAAATTTATCATCAATCTAAGTTGCTGGGGGGCTCTGTCCCCTAATACCCCCAGGAAACCTTGTCTTCACCTTGGTATGCATGGCAGGATAAACCAGAAACTTGGGAGCACTGAGTGGACTTAGGATGAGAGTTGTGCTTTCCGCATTTTATTTTTTTTTATTATTATTATTTTTTTTTGTGGCGTTACCGTTTGTGTCTGCATATTACTTTTTGTACCGACATCTGCAGCTTTTTGTCCTCTAAAAGAATATCATATTCAATTTGTCCTAACGTAGTGCATCCATACTGTAAAGATAAACCTATGCTTCTTTGCTCTCAAATTGCCCATGGATTAGTTTGGTGCGGTTAATTCAAATATCAATTTTAATACCAACTCATTTCTGTTTATGTCATTCAGACACATATATAGTCTTGTTTTTTCTTTAATAGTTTGTCTCTTAAACTTGGCATTATAGTCCCATTTGCTTTCTTTTGTGAGTAGCTGTCGATCAGAGGAAAGAAGTACACTGATGAACTTGCAACAACTAAATTAACATCTCTACCTGTATG